ACACTCTGGGCCATTTAGTCATCGAGGCATAATGGTCCCCACAGCTCTTCCTCTCTTTCTTCCTCAGTCTGATAAGAATAGTGCAAACCCAAAAAGTGAGTGGGCTGGAGCCACCTGCAGCTGACTAGAGGTAAAATCAGCCTCATGAGCCAGGGATGCTCTTTCCCACTTCTTGGCATAATTGCCTCTGGAGAAATCCTGCCTCTGGGCACCTCATCTGAAGTCACCTCAGTTGTGTCCTGAGTGGAGATGGAAGAGGTTTACTGTTGCTATGCTGGGAGCAGGGTCGGAGGCTGGAGGTGGGGTCCTCCAGAGATGGCCAACACCTAGGAATCCCTACAAGCCAGATCCACTCCACAGAAACAGCCTCTACTCCACAAAGTTAAAGAAAGTTCTCCTTTTTGGAAAAAGCAAGCTTATATTACCGGTAACTTTACTGCTTTAGGAAGAAAATTCCTTATTGTGTCCATTGGAAACATTCACAAATCTCAAAAAGGCTCCTTGTGCTCCATTGTGAAATGTTATGAATTCCCTGGGTCCTGTCACCTTCTTTCCTACTGTCCCCAGCTGTTCTGATAGGGATTACACTAGTTACACGTTTTCCAAACCCTCAAATACACTCCTACCTTAGTGCTGATCATCTGCGCAGAAAGCCCTTCCCCGGGGCCTGTCCCCTGGTCATGGTGACTTACCTGTTGAAGCAACTTGTCCTAAAAGTGGGCTTCAGTGTCATTATACTTAGTTCAATTGCATTTATGACATTTGTACTCCCAGTCAGGGGGCCTTCCCTTGCTTCATTTTTATCAGCTTCCTTCATATTTATCAATAACATTGCTGCATGGCGTAAGTTATTTTCAGACAATAACGTGTGCCATGGAGTGTGCCTTGTCAGCCCCACGGCGAAGCGTGGAATGACGAGGGTGCTTGCATTCCCCTCAGGACATGAACACCCAATGACTAGGAGCTTTGTTTGGTTCTCTGCTGTATTTTTAGTTCCTGAAAAGATATTATGATATAAAATGTGTTTTTTCAAGTAGCATAGAGAATGCCTCACTTAATACACATTTTGGACATAGTTTTCCCTGTATTTCCCAAACTCTTCTCATTATTAATCCTCCAAGTTGGAGTTTCTGTTCACATAGAAAAAAGTGATGCTTATCATAAAACCAAGATTCATTGTGGAGTTTTTTTTTTCTATATCATCATTGATTAAAATAGTTATGTTAATTATCATTTGGATTGTTTCTAAACTCTAATGATCACCTAGAATAAATTCTTCAAAGTGACTTCAAAGATCACTGTTTTCTTACTGTCATTTTTTAAATGTTAGTGTTCCCCAAGTGTCTCGACTTGTCACTCATCTTTTTTTGTAGAAACTTATCTCTTTTTTTTCTTTCATGGCTTTAACCTCTATACACCTAAATCTCCCTTGCTCACTCGCCTGGAATTCTCTCAAAGGATTCCAGATTCCAGTACGGATGGCCTCCTCTTACAAAACAGCTCCTCTGGATCCATATTTGGGCATCATGGTTTCCATATTCCTTGCTACGTCCAGGGCACCATTGTCTATGTAGTTCTCAAGTCAAGCTCAGAAGGAGCCTTAACATGCTCAGTTCTTTCTGGTTAGGTCCTCAGAATCCCAGTCTCAGTATAGCCAATTTTTCTTCTTCCTAGATGTGGCCATAAATCCATTTCACCCTCACTGTCACTTCCACAGTGTTGATGGTGGACTTGGCTGCCTCCAGGCACCCCGCTTCACCCCCACTGACCAACGTCCTCCTTGCCACTCCTGTGCCTTCCCACAGGTTGGCCATGGCACACAGATCTGTGAGACCTTGGTCCCATTCTCTAGTCTAATTTGGCATCCGTGAGCTTCTCCATGACAGAAGCTTGGGCTCATTTATCTCGGTCCCCATTTCACCTAATGTCTGATAAATGATGACTATTAGAAGAACCTGGGATATGAATAGTACGTAAACAAAGGAATGGATGGTAGCAGGGCAGCTCAGACATCCCCGATTCCTTCCTGACAAGACGTTACAGGAAGCTTCCTGGGGAAGAAGCAGCAGCCATAGGCTAACAAGCGATAATCCTCCCCTAAACCACCTTTTAATAAGAATTTACTGTATAAATACATTATCATAGGTGACTCTGCAACAATATAGTCTAATAAAATTAGTACAGTTACTGTAATAGAAAAATGTTCTCAAGAGGTTATGAATCTAAGAAAGTGTATGAATTTAACAGTTCAGCCATGTCGTAAATCCCTCTACTCATGGTCACCTTCGAATATAGACTTCTGAAATGCCCCTCGATTAACATCAGGGCTTTCATGCCCCAGAGGTGATGAAAGTAAAAATTCCTTTCCTTGTTCTCTGTCTTTGCTCTCCTGAAATCTACTTGATTGGAGAATCAGAGGCCTGTAATATGTTCAACTTTCTGTGCCAACACAGATGTGAATTCCATCCCTTAGTTCATCAAATTTAGTGAGTGCTTAAGAGATATTGAGGAATGATGGGATCTGGGGATTTAGGGCTGGGTAAGAAACAATGGTCTTGTTAAACATTCAGCCTACCAGAAAGATCTGAGCCTTGCTGAATCCTGCTGACACAAGGTGACCCTGGTGGACAAGGATGGGACAGGAACATTGTGTGCAACAGGGTCTTTAGAAGGTCACCACTCTAACTGGACATTGAAGTTCCAAGAAGATGTAATGTTAAGAGACCAGTTCGTCTTATTGTAATCCATTCCTTTTAATATTTATTTACTGATAGAAGCTTTTCTGCAAATTTCAGAAACTCTTTATATCTTAAAGAGCGAGTGCTCTACAATAGCCACGGGATGCCACTCCTTTAATGACAAGATTGCACACTTCAAGTCACTCCCTAAGAATAATAAAACTTTATGGATTTGTTGGTGGGAAGTAAGAATTGTGCTGTATCAAAAGTAACTTATTACATCTCTGACCAAGCTGGGATATGCAGTTTTCCACAAATAAGGTCAGTATTTTAAAAAAATCCTAAAAAGATCAATATGTGACTATGTATTTTATCAGAACTGAGCAAAAATCCTACCCTTTTTCTTCTGAGTGGTTCTTTGATCAGCTTCCCCCTCTTAGACTTATTTTAGATTCTAATGGAGCTGGCGCTGGGTTAGCAGGGAGCCTGCGTATGGGATGTGGCACGGAGAGGGCCGGGGATGTCTTTGGCCCCAAAGCCAGACCCCTGATGTCCGTACTGCCTTCTGAATATCATTAACAGCAGAATGATAACCGGTGTTTCTTTTATGTTCTGAGTGTGTGCTTTCCATAGCTTATCTTCTTTTTTTCTGTTCATTTGGAAAAGAAGCAATTGTGTGAATATCATCGATCTACATTTTCAAAGGCAGGATACTCATGAGATACGTAGGTCACACTAACTTCTGTAACATCGAATGCTGATTTCCAGAAGAATGTTTTCTTTTCAGTTGTTTAGAAATTTCTGAAAAATTACTCAGTTTCAAGTTAGAAAATATGTCTTTGGCTTCAATATATTCCTTTTAAAAAAGCAATTTAAGATGTTTATAACAGGGGCTGGGGATGTGGCTCAAGCGGTAGCGCGCTCGCCTGGCATGCGTGCGGCCCGGGTTCGATCCTCAGCACCACATACAAACAAAGATGTTGTGTCCGCCAAATACTAAAAAATAAATATTAAAATTCTCTCTCTCTCTCACTCTCTCTTTAAGAAAAAAAAAAGATGTTTATAACATGTCCAATTCAAAGCCAATAGAAAGTTTCAACTTTCAATCCTTGGAAGATATCATCCACATTTCATTATGTACTATGAAAATCGTGATTGATTTATGGATTGATTTTTTCTTTTATTATTTATATATGACAGCGGAATGCATTACAATTCTTATTACATATATAGAGCACAATTTTTCATATCTCTGGTTGTATACATAGTATATTCACACAAATTCATGTCTTCATACATGTACTTTGGATAATAATGATCATCACATTCCACCATCATTAGTAACCCATACCCCCTCCCTTCCCCCCAAAAGCCTCTGCTCTATCTAGAGTTCATATATTCCTCCCATGCTCCCTCTCCCTATTCCACTATGAATCAGCCTCCATATATCAAAGAAAACATTTGCAATTGGTTTTTTGAGATTGGCTAACTTAGCATTATCTTCTCTAACTCCATCCATTTACCTGCAAATTCCATGATTTTATTCTCTTTTATTGCTGAGTAATATTCCATTGTGCATATATGCCACACTTTTTATCCATTCATCTATTGAATGACATCTAGGTTAGTTCCACAGTTTTGCTACTGTGAATCATGCTGCTATAAACACTGATGTGAGTGTGTCCCTGTAGTATGCTGTTTTTAAGTTCTTTGGGTGAAGACCAAGGACAGGGATAGCTGGGTCAAATGGTGGTTTCATTACCAATTTTCCAAGAAATCTCCATACTGCTTTCCATCTTGGCTGCACCAATTTGCAGTCCTACCAACAGTGTATGAGTGTACCTTTTCCCCCACATCCTCGCCAACACTTATTGTTGTTTGTATGCATAAGACCTGCCATTCTGACTGGAGTGAGATTAAACCTTAGAGTGGTTTTGATTTGCATTTCTCTAATTGCTAGAGATGATGAGCATTTTTTACGTATTTGTTGATTGATTGTACATCATCTTCTGAGAAGTGTCTCTTCAGGTCCTTGGCCTATTTATTGATTGGGTTATTTGCTTTTTTGGTGTTTAACTTTTTGAGTTCTTTATATACCCTAGAGATTAGTGCTCTATCTGATGTGTGAGGGGTAAAGATTTGCTGCCAAGTTGTAGGCTCTCTGTTCACCTCACAGATTGTTTCTTTTTCTGAGAAGAAACTTTTTAGTTTGAGTTCATCCCATTTATTGATTCTTAATTTTAGTTCTTGTGCCACAGGAGTTGAATATTGTGTTTTATTCAGATAAATTAATGCTCAACAGTATATACAACCTTTAAAAAGAGATAAATGTTGAAAGAGAGCAGTTGTGCTGATAGTTACTATGACTACATTTGTATCATTGACTTTGAAGCCACTTGTGAAGAGGGTAATCCACCTGAGTTCATAACATGAAATAATTGAGTTTCCTGATGTTTTATTGAATACTCATACCTTGCAAATAGAAGATACGTTTCAGCAATATGTAAGACCAGAGATTAACACTCAGCTTTCTGATTTCTGCATTAGTCTTACCGGAATTACTCAGGATCAGGTTGACAGAGCTGATACTTTTCCTCAGGTACTGAAAAAAGTAATTGACTGGATGAAATTGAAGGAATTAGGAACAAAGTATAAATATTGCATATCAACAGATGGTTCATGGGATATGAGTAAGTTTTTGAACATGCAGTGCCAACTGAGCCGGCTCAAATATCCTCATTTTGCTAAAAAGTGGATCAATATTCGAAAGTCATATGGAAACTTTTACAAGGTTCCTAGAAGCCAAACCAAACTGGCAATAATGCTTGAAAAATTAGGAATGGATTATGATGAACGACCTCATAGTGGTCTTGATGACTCTAAGAACAAAGCACGAATAGCAGTGCGAATGCTTCAAGATGGATGTGAACTCCGAATCAATGAGAAAATGCATTCAGGACAACTAATGAGTGTGTCCTCTTCCTTACCAATAGAGGGCACTCCAGCTCCACAAATGCCACATTTTAGAAAGTAATAGCATTTTGTCTGGGGATCATTCTAACTGGAGTTGCTACAAAAGAGGTAGCAGATGGATGCTCATTGACTGCAGTGCAAACTTCAAGCACCTTAAACATGAAAAATCTTTGTTACAATTATATGTATATATATTATGTATGTGAACAGATTTTGTGGGAGGGCATATTGAATTCTTTCTCACCAGCACTTTTGATATGAGCAGTATTTGTTACACAGTAATGTCCTGCTTATAACTAAATTTTTTAAATTGTCCAAGATTTTAAGGTGTCCAAGATGTACTCTTTTTGATTTTAAAATGCAAAATTTTATTGACTCTTCCCTTAAATGTCATATTTTATTGATGTTGAGATATAGAATGTATTTCTGAATTAACATCATTTCATTAAATCATTCTTAAAATGCCAAAAAAAATTGAAAGGTAGGCCTATGTTAACCTTTGGGTTTTATAAATATAGTCCTCTTGACTTTTGAAGTTTATATATGAAGTTCAACTACAGTCCTCTCTCAGTACTCTTGGGTTTAGTTCCAGGACCCAGTGTGGATACCTCAAGTCACTTACATAAAACGGCATAGTATTTACATATAACCTACATACGTCCTCCCATATACTTTAAATCATCTCTCATTTATCATACCTAATAAATATAATTACTATATAAATAGTTGCTGTACTGTATTGTTTAGGGAATAATGACAAGGAAAAAAGTTTATTCTGATACAAACAGTGTAGACTAACCTACATAGTATAGGAACAAGATGCGGGACAAGCAATGACCAAACAACATGTGCTGGAGAGAAACTAAACATCTGTGGAGGGGCAGGCTGCAGCAGGGTGTGCTCGCACATCACTTTTTTGTGTGTGAAGATTCATGATAGTGCTGGATATGTGGAAAATTCAAGTTTTGCTTTGTGGAAAATTTTCCCCCAAATATCTTCAGTCTATTGTTGGTTGAATCTACAGATGTGGATCCCAGACTGGATATATGGCGAGTTTCGTAAAAGTATTTGGTGTACATATCTGCTTTTTTTTTTTCTGACTTATAATTGCAAAACTTGAGATGGATTATAGGGTTCAAAATTAAGTTACTAAAGAGATTAATGAAAAGTAAAAATGAATACTATTTCATAGGGCTGTTGCTCAAACTTTATAAAATAGTGAGTTCTTTTGGATTTGATTGATTAGTTCCCTTCCCTCTTATGACATATTTTCCCTAATTCTTAAATCTAAGATGCCACACTTAGAAGTAGACATTTAATATTATATTTGTATTTAGTTTTATAAATGAGGTTAAAGTCAAATAATGTTTCCTACCATATCTTATGCTTTTATTTTTAAAACCTCCATTGGCCACTAGTGTTGTTTAGTTAATATATTCTTGATTGTCACTTAATATATGACCACTAGATATTGAGTAGTTCTTAATTCTAAAAATAAAGATGGCTTTTGGATTAGTAAAGTTGATAAAATAAGACTCTTATTAGAGACTAAAATATGTATTTTTAAGAATTAAATTTCCTGTGGCTTTCTGAAAAAAAAGAAAATATCTTTCCTGAATTAAATCACACAGTAATATTTAAGATTTTCATGTCTTCCAATTGATTTTTAATGAGAATTTCTACTTTTAGTAAAAAAAAAAATCTGAGAAACAAGCAACATTGTCAGAAAGATTACAGTAAATAATCCCAGGTATAAAGTTTTAAAATAGTTTAATTATCTGAAAGTAGTTATAAATAGAGTTGTTTTCTAAAACACTAGAGGTAGTTTGTCTGCTTTATTTTTAATGATATAGAAACAAAACCATCATCTTCTATTTATAAGTTATGACAAACTTGTATTCTTTAAAAATAAATAATCAGAGATAGAGTGTGTGCGTATCAACTGAGTTGTAGGATCACATACTGAAAAGTTCATGGGATAATTCCCCCGTGGTGTTTACAAGGTAAGCACCATATTTTCATGTATGTTATTTGTATTTGCCAAGTATGGTGGTTTCAAAACCTTAATCACAGAGTCTGCTTTCTCTTCAGAGTCAGATCTGCCATGCCACTTGGCTAGTAATGCTAATAATTGTGAAAACACCTATTGTGATGTATCGAAACCACAATAAATGGTTGTCCTGATGAACACTTAGCAAGTGGCTCCTCTTTTTTACTCTGTATCATTATTTTCCTGCTTGTCTGCCTCAGTGCCGTCATGCCTAGGTTCTTCCCAGATCCAGGAACACCTTGCCCTCCACTGGTCCTGTTTTGTGAAGTTCTTCTGCTATTTTTAGATGTTTTGTATTTTATAAGTACCGCGCGCTAACCGATTGCGCCACTGGAGCTCCATGTTTTGTATTTTAAATTCTTTTTCACCAAAGGTAGAAAGAAGACTAATTTCACTAATCACCCTCCGTGTGTCTTTGGAATATCACAACAATGCTGCAAGTCAGATACAGATGTTTTGCTCTGTTGGGCTGCCATAAAAATTACCCCAGACAGGGATGCTCATACATATACACAGCAAGCTTTACTTGTGTGGAGGCTGGAAGCCCACCAGGCAGGAGCCTGCAGATTTGCTGCAGGGAGGCCACTTCCTGGTTCCCAGGTGATGTCCCCTAGCTGCTGAACTCACTCATAAGGACCTCATTGTGGTTCTTCAGCATCTCAGGAAGGCTCCACCTCCAAACAACATCTCCCTGGGGTTGCATTTCAACATATGGATTTGGAGGAACATAAGCATTCAGTCTACAACAACATGCAAATAAGAAAATCCTTGTTCAAAAAAATGAAATTAAACACTGAAGGACACATAGGTATAGGAAGGGCAGAAGTGTACAGTTCTGTCTAACTCATGGTTAGGCTGTGTTCATATAGCCACTTGTACTAAATTAAAAAAATGGCATTTTTGAAATTAGAAATCATATGGTTTATATATTTTAAAAACTAGAAGAAAACAAAATTTCATTTTATGTGAAAATATGACATTTATAGCTATATAAGGTATTCACTTAAATATAGAAAAAAAATCCTATAATATATTTCAATTATAATTATTTTACAGTCTAGATTTCAAGAAGTTAGATGTGTTCACAACAATTAGCCTAGAAAACATCATAGGCTATGGTTATTTTTCTTAAGTGTTACTTTCATTCAATGCTTATTTTATATTAGGTCTGATAGGTGTGTATACATAGAAAGAAATTTCCAGTGTTGTTGCGTTTCACACAGCAAGTAAGATCTTGTTTGGGAGAAATCTGGCCCCAGCTTTATTTGTGTGATCTAAGGCACAGTATTTGATAAACTCCTCAGTTTCCTATTATGCAAGGGGTAGGGTGACCGTCTTTGTCTGATAGGTCTTAAAGAGAATCAGCTACAAGAAATGACTCCAAGTCTCCAGGTCTCCACTGCAGGAAGCCAAAAACTTCTCTTCTGCTTTCATCATCTCCTCTGGCTTTTGACTTTTTTCCACTACAGAAGCAAAATTTCATGTTTTATGCGCGCACATGTGTGTGTGTGTGTGTTGTGTGTGTGTGTATGTTGTTGTTGTTGTTGCTGCTGCTGCTGTAATTCTTATTATTATTTTTGTTTATTCACAAGTCCCAGAACACTTTTCTAGCCATATTTTCTTTAATTTCCAAAGAAATTATTTCACCCCCCAAAACATACCTAACTTAAATGATTATAGTAATACATTAATCTTCTCATTAGACTGAAAAAATGGCTTCAGTTGTGTTAGAGAATGGGTGAGAGCTCCTTGGCTATTACAGACAGCATGTTACTGACCAGGGAGACTACCATTACTGTCTTCCTCTTCACAGCCATCCTCGTCCTGACCTTTCAACATATAACACATCAGAGTTCTGTGCTTGTCACTGCACCACCATCTGATCTGCCAACAACTCTGGAGTTGAGCAAGGGAGCTGTCATTGTCCTTATTTCAGGGATTGATGGCTGCAGAGCCCTTAGTATCCCTTATAGCTACTGTATGGAGTATACATACATCACCCTGTAGGTAATGGAAATTTAGTATGCCCGGGTTTTAACTTCAAACCTAAGACTCGGTTTCATTCAAAAACAGTTTCTAGGGGTGAGATGGAGTAACAACCTCTAGATTTACAAACAAAACATGAACACAAAATATGAAATTGCTCTTTTCAACCACCAGATGTCAAACCATATGGGACAGTGGTCACCAAAAGACAAGAAAAGAAAAGATAAGCCCTACAACTTCCTCAGTTGGCTTGTCTGTCTGCACCTGCAGTGCAGGGAGGGAGCAGGGCGAGTCTGGCACAGGCTCTGAGTTGGGCAGCTGTGGCTGAGGGTGCAGGAAGTGAAGGTGGGCAGAATCAACAAGGAGGGAGTCACAAAGGGAGAGTGACAGAGGCACAAGTTCCAGATGTGACAGAAGGTCCCCTGGTGCACTCAGCAGAGCATGGCCCAGGCTTCAGGTGTGGAAACCACCCCAAGAAGCAGGAGCCCCACCAAATCACTGTCTCCCCTTCTTTTCAGCATAGTATTAGAAGACCTAACCAGAATAATAAGGCAAGAAAGAAAATAAAGTCATCCATGTAGGGAAGGGAGAAATGAATACCTCTGCTTATTACACTGCCTTATATGTTAATTATATGTGTATATATAAATTCACTGCAAAATACTGTTAAGCTAAAACAGTAAAGTTTTAAGTTATGAAATCAACATGCAAAAATCATAGTGTTATTAGACACTAAAAACAATTTGCAATGAAATAAATTTTTAAAAATTCCATTTACAATTGCATAAGAAGTAAAATGAAATGAAATACTTAGGAGTGGATTTAACCAAGGAGGTGAAAAATCTCTACACTGAAAACTACAAAACAAGAATGAAAAAACTGAAGAAGAGATACATAAATGGAAATATATCCCATGTGCATGAATTGAAAAATTAAGATTTTTAGAATGTCCGTACAAATAAGGCAATCTGCAAATCCAGTGCAATTCTCGTTCAAAGTTTCAATGTTCTTTTACACAGAAATAGAATAAACAATCCTAAAATTTGTATGAACCCAGAAAAGACACTGAATGGACAAAATAAACTTGAGAAAAATAAACAAAACTGGGGGTATCTTACTCCACAATTCCAAAATATATTAATTATATTATGAAGCAAGTATAACCAAAACAGCACAGTACTGGCATAATGACACAATCAATAGAAAGTCCTGAAAAAATCCAAGTAATTATGGTCAATGGGGTGTTGACATGGGTGTCAGGAGTGCAGGGGGTGAAAGGGCAAAGGCAGGAGGCCTGGGGAACTGTGCACATACCTTGCACCACATGAAAACTAAACTCCAAATGGATAGAACACTTAAACCAAGACCTCAAACAGTGTCACTGTGGAGCAGAACAGAGGAGAAGCTCTGTGACATGGGACTTGGTGGTGATTTCTCAGACAGGACCCCAAAAGCACAGGCCAGAAAAGCAAAAATATGGGATGGATTCAAAGTAAGAGCTTCTGCAGAGCAGAGGAGAAAACTCGGAAACTGAAGAGAGAGTATTGGCAAATCATAGCTCTGCTTTGTGACTAAAACCCAGAATATATAAGAACCTAGACATTTTAAGAGCTGGAAGACAAATACCCCATTAAACAATGGTAAAGGATGTGAACAGGAAGATATAGGCAGAGGATGTATAACAATACCCTCAGCTCTAGCCACCAGGCAAATGTAAGGTAAGACCATAGGGAGGTGTCACTGCCCCTGGGTGGAAATGCTACTATAAAACAGATGAAGGAAAGCAAGTGCTGAGGAAGATGGAAGGAAAGAGACCCCAGTACAGGCTGAGGGGAG